GGATGTGTAGATGACAGGAAGCGTCTATTGGATCAGTTATAGTGTCCCTTGATTTGAAAGGACTAAGCATCAGAAGCATTCCCAAGTCACATCACTGACTCCTTTGGACTAAAGCTGTCTTCATTAGTACATACTAGGAGAAATTATTAACAAACCTATCTCTGATGAAAGTACTTATACCCAGAATATATAAAGAATCTTCAAACTCAGTAATAAGAAAACAACCAGCCACATTTTAAAAATGGGAAAAAAATAGAACAGACATTGTATCAAAGATAAAGGCAGCAAAGAAACAGAAGAAAAAATGCTCAACATAGTCATTAAGAAAATGGAAAACACCATCACACTGGGGTGTCACTATATATCTGTTAAGATACCTAAAACCAAAAAGCTGACCATGCCAAGTACTAGTGAGTTCTAGAAGAAATGACTTCTCATATGTTTCTAGGGGGAATGTAAAATATTCCAAGCCCTTTGGAAAATAGCTTGGCAGTTTCTTAAAAATATAAACACACACCTACCATATGACTCAGCTATTCCATTTTTAGGCAATAACACAGGGAAAATGAAAGCAGGTGAAAGTGCAGTTTCATTCAGCAGTCCCAAACTGGAAACAACCCAAATGTCCAGTAACAGGTGAATAGATAAATGTGTTTATGGTACATCCATAAAATGGAACACTACACAAAAATAAAAAGAATAAACTGTTGATCAATGCCACAATATGCATAATTCTCAAAATTACTACATGAAATGAAAGAAGCCAAACAAAAAGAATATATACTATCTACTTCACTTACATAGAATTCTAAAAGATGCAAACTAACATATAGTGACAGAAAGCAGATATTTGTGCAAAGCATTTTATTTATTCCATCCATATGTGGGAAACATTTTGCTACTTCACCCCCTGGAACAGGATAGGGGCTGCAGGGAGGGATGAGAGAGAGGAAGTATAAAGGGACACAAGGGAACTTTTGGTGGTGGTGAATATGTTCATCGTCTTGATTTTTCTGATGATGGTTTCACCAAAGTGTACAAATGTCAAAAATTATCAAATTGTGACCTGTAAGTACATGCAGTGTATTCTATGTCAATTATAACTTGCTAAATCTATTTTTTAAAAAGCAGTTGGAACATTGCTGTTACATTAATTACTAGTGTTTAAAACTCAGAAGTAAACAAAGATGGTTTTGTAGAAAAAAATAGATGTGATTTTCTTTTATCCCCTGTTTTCAGTCTAACTTGTCAATGGCATCGCTTCATCGGTGACATTGGCCAGTCAAATTTGTTGAAATGCACAAGGGTAAATCGTAGATTAAAATATTTCCTAAGGGGAGCCTCTCTGGTCTTCGGCTGCCTGTGAAATCCATTTTTCTGGAAGCTTTCATTGCTCTCAGTACATCAGAGATTAGAAGCCTTAGCTACCTTTTATTTAAAACATGTTTGCTTAAATTACAACAAGTTATTTTACAGCTAGACATATGAATGCCATGTGCTAAGTAAATTGTACATTATGTAGAAAGTGTTTAAAAATACCCTGAAGTTGTAGAAATATGAGATGCATATAGAGAATGATAATTTAAGCAGCTTCAGTCATCTCACTGATGTTAAACTGAGCTTTCTGTAGTTCTTGCAGTAGAAGAGACATATGTCTTGAATGTATTTTAAATATATGCCAAAGCTAGCCCTTTTAAGGGCATCATTGAATTGATAATTTCAAACAGTTTGTCAAACTTAGATATGTTCCAGAGAGGAAAGAGAAATCTTGAATACACCATTTAGTATATTTTATAATGTCATTTCTGAGGATTCATGTTTACTTTGACTGCCTGTCCCACTGTACCCAAAATATGAATAAATAAAGATGAACACTTGATTTCTATGTCCTTTTACTATACAGTGATAAATGAGTGTTAAAGCTAGTGTAGTTAGATACAAGTCATATCCTCCAGCCATCACTTTGTTAATTTGATAATTGCTAAATACTGATCTTAATGAAGTTAACATGCTTATTATCTGTAACCATAAAACATTCCTGATATAAAACAGTTCCACTGTAAATCAAAGAAAAATGATATGGTCACACATATTAACACGTAAGGTGGTGAACAAATTTAGCTGAATTACATGACACTGTCAGCTCCGTACAGAAGATTCTAATTTCGTATAAAAGGTCTTGATTTCCAAGCTCTTTACTTGAACAAGAAGATTTAATTTATCTGTTATTTTATGAAGNAGGATGCAATTGCCTCAGGACATTCTGTTGACAGCTAGAGATATATACAGACAAAGCAATGTCACTGGATGCTAATGTGAACTATACTGCTGATGAGTACTGTAAATCCCTCTCAAAGAGGCCAAACCCTTTCATTGAACCAGGGGTTTCACCTTAAACTTTGACTATGGAGGTAATTTCTACACTTCTGTACAATGAAACCATAGTGAATATTTGATAATTATTTTATGCCTGTGAATTTCATACATACGAATATGATCCCAGGGGCTGATATATCCAGATAAGGCCACATGTAGATATGAGATCATTCATTTCAGTTATTTACATATTAGACTAATATCTGGTGTCTTTTATACATACTGAAGATGAATCATTCATTTTTCACATTAGTTTGTACCCTGCAAGTACTTACATAATAACTTTCTTGTCTGTAAGAAGTTCTCCATTTTCTCCAGTGTGAAGTTGAGTGAGAGGTATACTGTAATTTAACTGACAATAATATGTACAAGTACAAGTAATCATATGGTTAATATTACCTTAATAGAATCTCTAGTAAGAGTTGTCAAAACAGCCCTAGAAGCAACGGTGTCTCTGTTGGTCTTTTTAACCCTCCACGTCAACTTTAATAGCCATCACAACTACTCTGCAGAGCAAACCTCCGTGCAAAGGTGCGAATCTGAGGCCAGAGAGCCGAATGCTGAAAGGACTGCCTTGCTTCATCCCATGCGAAACCATTTACCTTACATTTCAGAAAGCATCTTGTTGCCTATCAACATAGAGTGGGGATGAATTGATCTTGACTGCTTCAGTACTGCTTCCAGAGGCCTGCTACACTTTATAACTTGTGGCTAAAATGTGGGAAGAAAAAAACGTCCGGTGGTCAAGTGCAGAGGGCTTTGGTGATGTTAACACTCCTGGTGGGTTTGGCACCCGGAGCAATTTTCCATTACAATGCAGCTGTAATGTGAGTGGAAACATTTTCTTTAACCAAACAACCATGTAGGCGGGCTGTGCATGGCGTTCCTTGAAATAAGTCTGGAAAAACAAAACAAAGCCCTTCCTTGTTCCTTCTAATTGTCACATCTGAAATGAACTGTAAGTGAAACCTGGTCAGTAGAGATGTCAGGACTATTTGGCTTTCCTACAGCAACTTCTTCTTCGTAGTCAGCATCAAAGACCAGTTTCTGCCAGGTTAAGAACTGACTGAAAAAAGTAAAGTCCTTGAAAATCAGGGCAATTATTCACAGAAAAAAGACTCTGGCCTAGAAAGCCTGATGCCAGTAGACGGTTTTGGAGTTTTTGTTTGGGACGTGGGTATAACAGATGAGCTAGGAACAGCCCTTCAGAAGAAAAGCCCTTTTGTGCTCTCCTAGGCTGACCCTGCTTTGAGATGGACATAGACAATTCCAGTTGAGCAAAATGAACCATGAACCACAAAACCTCCTGGGGCAGAAGACCAGGGACCCCAGCGAGCACTCGTTCCCATTTTAGACCAAATGGTGCACCAAAATAGAATAAGGACTGAATGTACAAAACATTCTCAATATGATGAGACTATTAGAAGTAAATAAAGGTCACACGGTTTGCTTCTATTTCAAATGAACTGCCTTTTCTAGATCAATTCAACAAATAGTCTCTCCAGTTCTAAAATGGGGAAACAATTTTCCTAACATGAAAATAACTTTGTATACAACTAAGCTGGAAGGAATCAGCCAGGTAGAATGATTTTAACTGTAAAAATACCTCAAGGAAGGAATGTATTTGCAAACAAAAATGAAAGATGATACTGAAGAGTTTGCAAATTATCTCTCAAATTCATCAGTAGTACTATTTTTGACTGATGAGAGAGAGTTAAGCAGGCCCAGCTGAGGAAGACTAAATTCTTCAAGTTTTCTCTGAGCTGAACCTTCTTTCCATGATGGCTGACAGCACCGCCTTCCAGGTCTTCCTGCCTCACAGCATCACTATCTCAGTTATTTCTCCCAACTGGTGTCCTGCTTCTACTTGAGCTCCCCACCCTCACCCTAATTTGTTGTATTATTCCCTCTTAGTTTTCTTAAAATAGTAAATCATGTCAACCTTACTGAAAGCATCCTATTCCCTCCAGGCACAAGTAAAATGACTTGGCCCAGAAGTTGAACACCCTCCACACTCTAGCATAAAGTTCCCATTACAGGGTCTCTTTTCCTCCTTATATTGCTTTGATCATTGGAGCTCAAAGCACTATTCTTGCTTTCCAGCTTCTGATTCACCCATAGTCTCTAGGAATTGCCTCCTATCGTCTCTGCCTAAACAAACAGTATTCCTTCACTCATTCAGCAAAGAATGAGACACCCAATGTGCGTGGGCAGAGAGGACACAGTAGTGAACAAAACCAACA